AAAAAGAGCTAGAAATTTCTGCAAATATTACCATCAAAGAAAAAAAGAACGATTTTAAAATTTCAGGTTATAACCTCTCTTCCAGATTTACTCATAATATCTTCAGATCAAATCCTATCATTACCATAATATGCTTAGGCTCACATTGGTCGAATTTTTGATGCAATAGTGATCATGCTCTCTTTTTTTTTATTTATTTATTTTTCCAAAAAGTGATATATTTAGCTTAGGTTAGATTTGATTTTGGGGGAATGCAAAGTCAGTCTTCTTTATAAATATAGTTTTTAGATGAAATTTTTATTTTTCTTGTGATTTGTTTTATTTTATTTTTTAGTTTATCTATAAAATGTATAAATATCTACTTTTATTATAATAAAGATTTAGTGAAATTACCGCAGTTTAAAAAAAAAAAAAATTTTTTGTTTTAGTAGATCTAAAAAAAAACTCTTTTTGTCGATTTACAATCCACCAAAAATGCTAAGAAAAAATGAAAGAAAGAATACCAACCGTGGCTGCTCTACATCGCTAGCTACTAACAAACAACTAACAAAAAAATAAAACCCAACCTAAACTCTAGACAACGATCTCACTATTGAACACCTAAATGTACCTATTACACCTATTCTTCTAAAAGATACTAACACAATGGAAGTTGACCCAGTTAAAGAAAGTTTGACCAACAATCTTAACAAAGGAAAAAGTCTTGAAATTATTACTTCAACTTCAGAAACAACTACACTAAAACTAACTATGAGTATCGACAAGTCTTTTGACGCATCAGAAAATATTTTAGATACTTCGACCCTCAGTTTTGAAGCATTTTCAACTCAAATCATCAAATTTTTTTAACTCGTTCGTCAATGTTACAAGAAGAAAACACTCTATCGATCAAAATCAAGCAATCATCAAAGTTGCCTTTGTAGACAAATCTGAATGTGATACTTTTTGCAAATTCAAATTTCCCAATATAGATAACATCACATTTCAACCATTGGATATAAAAAAATCTGTTCCTTACATACCTGATTGGTCGATCATGGTTATAGAAATTTCATTAGATGCCACAGAAATTAGGTTACGAAAACTATTTTCTAAATTTGGAAATATTGTTTGTTTCACTATAAAAACTAAAAATTTCTGGTAAAGAGTTACAATCACCTTTGACGAGAAAGCCAACTTTGAAGAACTAAAAAAAGGAGATGGCATCTATCTTTTAAACG